CTTCCCCAGCATCTGGGACACCTCCTCAGCATGTCCCCAGTCAGTGCTGGGGGGGTCCCACTCCTTGCCCAAATGATGCTCCCGTGGCTGAAGGTTCATTGCTGCTCTTTGCACATCAGATTTGGGGTCCCAACCCCCTGCTCGGCCCCAGCACTGACACTTTAAATTCCCAGTGCCCTCCCCTGCCGGGCTTTGGTCTTCCTTGGGGAAGAGAAGCTGTTTCTTCCCTCGTCTGAGCAACCTGGAGATGGAGGAACATCCTGCCACGGATTCACCTTCTCCCGTGGGTTCAGTGGACTCTGATTTAAAAGATGTTTGAAAACAGCAACAGGACTTTACTGGGAAAAAAAGTAACCACTGTGACTGCAGGAGCATCAGGGACTCCTGCACATTTATTTTCTCCCCGTGTATTAGAGAATAAAGCTGAAAAAAAATTAGCAGACACTTGGTTCCTTTTTTTTTTTTAACCCCCCAAAACATCACCAACGTTACAACGAGATGTTAAAAGCCATTAAAATTCTCACGAGGAAACTTCAAGTCAAAATTAGGGTTCGCACCTGAGGGTTTCAGCTCTGGCCGAAGGGGTTTCACCAGGAAAATCCTCCCCGTCCTGTTCACCCACCACAGGACCGCGGGATGGATCCTCTGCGGTGCACATGGAGGTACAAACAGTCAGCTCCGAGACCATTCCAGCACCTTCCTCACCCAGAGCCCTGCGCGGGCACAACACCCTCATTTAAATGCTAATCAGCTTAATGAGCGCGTGGCCCAGCACGTGAGGTGTGGCTGTGCGTGCCAGGGATGCCTTTTCACTCCTGCAGGAAGGTGCAGCCCCGGCTCTTCCCCCGCAGCTCCCCGGCTCTCACAGGCGCTGCAAACCTGCTTTTTCTCTCTCACTTTGCCAGAAAAGCCTCCCACAAGGTGCATTAAAATATCTAATGTTGCTTCTGTGTGTTGCTCAAGTGTGTCCTCGCAGAACCCCCAAGGAAAACTGGAAAGGGAAAAAGGAGTTTCTTCTTTTTTTTTCTTCACCACAACAATTTATTTTTCTCATGTCTAATTTTACCCAAACAAAACACCACTTATATATGAAATCTAACTTAGGAGATCCCTTGTTTTATTAGCTGTTTTCTTCCCAGTTCCCAGGCACTGGCCCAGTGCACTGACTCAGAGCCCACAGACTGAGTTTAGCCCTGACCAGCATTTTCAGGTCAGCTTTGGTCCATCTTATCTTCCAAACTGCTTTTCACTTGCCACCCCAGCCCTCCCAGCCCAGTTAGTCCAGCCCAGTTAGTCCAGCCCAGCCCTCCCAGTCCATCCCAGTCCATCCCAGCCACAGGACCGTTTCTCCAGCAGTTTCAGCCCCTCGCCCCAAGTTGGTGCCACCTGTAGATTTGCCAAGTCCACCCCATTATCCAGGGTATTAATGAAGATCTCAAACAGGACCAGCACCAGTGTCAGCCAGTTTTTCACCCACTATGTAGTTCATTCATCCAGTCCACACTGGATGGACAGTCCAGTCCATGAGGCTGCCCTGGAAAACTGTGCCAAAAACCACCCATCACACTCATGGAATCCTGGAATGGCTTGGGTTGGAAGGGACCTTAAAGATCATCCAGTTCCAACCCCCTGCCATGGGCAGGGACACCTTCCACAAGACCAGGTTGCTCCAAGCCCTGTCCAGCCTGGCCTTGGACACTTCCAGGGATGGGGAATCCATGGAATAAACCTGTACCAGGGCCTCCCCACCCTCACAGGGAATATCCTAATATCCCCCTTCCTAATATCCTGTCTAAACCAGCACATGGAATCCTGGAATGGTTTAGGTTGGAAGGGACCTTAAAGATCATCCTGTTCCACTCCCTGCCATGGGGACACCTTCCTCTATCCCAGGTTGCTCCAACCTGGCCTTGGACACTTCCAGGGATGAGGCAGTCACAGCTTCTCTGGGCAACCTGTGCCAGGGCCTCCCCCTGCACAGAACCAACCTCTTCATCACCAAAACCAATCAGCACAATTTGCTTTTGGTGACTCTGAGCTGGCTCTTCCCAGTCACCTGTTTGTGCTTCAGGCACCTCCTGGAAATGTCCCTCCTGAGCAGCAGAAGGGGAAGGCCGGGTCGTTGAGCCTGGGCACATCATGGCTCCTGACTCACAGGTCACACATCAGCCTCCACTCAGTGTCCTGGTGCTCTGGAGATGGTGAATAAGTACTTTATTACCTGCCTCACACGACAATGTGTGCCTTAAATGCTGTAAGTCTTTTATGTGCCCCGCTGGGTAATTAAAAGATGCTTATCAGAAATCGTGAGTCAAGCAGGACATGGGAACAGCATCCAAATGGAGGAGATGTTTTGCCAATAAATAATTTAATCCTCGTTCCTGCAGAGTGTTTCATTTATGAGGGGAAGACTTGGAACCCTATAAAAGGCCCCGGTCCCTTTGCCTGTCACAATCTGCTCCCCTGGTCAGCGCCTGCCTTCCCTTGGGAACGGGGTAAGACACAGCCCTGGGTCATTTTTGGATGGGGTTTGGATTCAGGAGGTCACAGACCTGACTTGTTACACTTGAACCTTCAAGAATGATGGGCTAAGCCAAGACAGAAGCTGTTGGGAGACCTGGGTGTGGGATTGGCACTACGGGCTAAGCCAAGAAAGAGGCTCTTGAGGGTGTGGGATTTACACACATGGTGTCTTATGGTTGATTCTGTTCCTGGAGGGAAAAAAAATGAAGGGGAAGGTCAGAAAGAGGGTTTGGACTTAATCTGACCGGCATTGGGCAGCTGTAGGTGTTTCCTTTGGACCCAGACCCTCAGGATAGTCGGGTGTGACCTGGTCACGTCTCACTAACGAGGCTTAACGGGGAGTCAAACAAAACCAGAGCAGACGGTGACACCAGCCTGCTGTTTTCCAGGCTTTTCCCTGCAGCTCAGCAATGATCTACTCTTCTGGAAGAGAATCCTACTTCAACCTGAACTCCACCTGGTACGACCCCTCGGGGTCGTGGCTGGACACCCGGCGGACCCCATTCCGCTACGGCTACGCCAACTGCTGCTCCTCGGGCTGCGACGGCGAGGGCGTCGAGGGCATGAGGGGCCACGACTACCGGCACTACGGCTACAGGCAGCCCGTCTGCTCCGAGAGGTGCCAGGGCTACGGCTCCTCCGAGTGCTGCCACGGGGGCTCCGCCTGCGTCCGGAGACCCACCTACAGCTACGGCTCCTCGGGGGGCTGCCAGGGCTACGGGAGGTCCGTCTGCTCCGAGAGGTGCCAGGGATCAGCAGGGGGCTGCCAGGGCTACGGGAGGTCCGTCTGCTCCGAGAGGTGCCAGGGATCAGCAGGGGGCTGCCAGGGCTACGGGAGGTCCGTCTGCTCCGAGAGGTGCCAGGGATCAGCAGGGGGCTGCCAGGGCTACGGGAGGTCCGTCTGCTCCGAGAGGTGCCAGGGATCAGCAGGCTCGTGCCACGGAGGGGGCTCGAGCTGTGTCAGGAGACCCACGTACAGCTCAGGGTTGTCAGGGGGGTGCCAGGGCTACGGCAGGTCAGTGTGCTCGGAGACGTGCCACGGCTCAGGGTACCAGGGGGGCAAGGTGAGCTATGGGAAGGCCTCACAGTGCATCCCACAGTGTGTCCCGCAGAGCAGCCCCAAATGCATCCCACAGAGCGCTCCAAAGTGTGCCCCAAAGTGCATCCCCCAGAGTGCCCCAAAGTGTGCCCCAAAGTGCATCCCCCAGAGTGTCCCGAAGTGTGCACCAAAGTGTGTCCCAGTGCAGACCTGTCCCCCTCCAGCGCAGGTTTGTCCCCCTCCAGTGCAGGTCTGTCCTCCTCCAGTGCAGGTCTGTCCTCCTCCAGTGCAGGTCTGTCCCCCTCCAGCGCAGGTTTGTCCCCCTCCAGTGCAGGTTTGTCCCCCTCAAATCCAGCAAGGCTGTGTGCCTGTGCCAAAGGGCATCCCAAGCCAGCAGCAGAAGCAGGTCTGCAAAATTCCAGCCCGGAAGATAAAGTAGAAGCCAAGAGGAGTGAGGACAAATGAAGGGAATGTCTCACTCCTGCACCCTCTGATGGGCCCCACGTCCTGTGCTGCTCACGGGGCTCTGCTCTGTCATCTTGCTTGTAACGTGCTTTGAAGGCGTAACCCACGGTCTCTGTGAAATATTAAATGCTCTTCCCCTCCTTATTTCACTGCAGACATGGAGGTAATAAAAAATGATGGCTCAAAACCCCCCTTGGCATCAGTGTTTTCCACTTCATCCCTTCGAGCTGCTTCTGGTCCTTCTTGTGGCCAGAGCTGGTGTTTGCACCCTCATGAGGCTCCTGCTTGGTTCAACCTGATGTCTTTTGATTCCTCCTCTGGCCAACTTCCTTGCTGGAAGGAAATAACAGTTTTCATCATGTTTGTGCAACACAGTAATTAAATAGCCATATAGTCATGGAAAAAAATCCCCCACATTTCATCAGAGAAGTAAAAATGAGAGGGTCTGCCTGGCACTTCATTTCATCCACCCATGAGGCAATGGGAACAGCTGGACTTGCACCACAAACCTCCAAAAAAAAGCCCTGGGGAAAAAAGTCAGGGAGAGAATTCGGGAATGGCTCTAACAGGGTGAAAGGCCCCGAACTCCTGGTTAGATAAGGCCTGGTGGGGCTGGGAGAGGAATCACCAGGGAGGATTTCTGGAGCAAAGCAGGGATCTGGAGCCGGTGACACAGCATCGTGTCCTCAGAGGCTCCTGGCACCTCACCTAACCCAGGTGAGAGCCTCCCTCAGCTCCATCTCCCCTGTCCTGCCCGGCCCAGCCCCCAGGACGTGACACATCATGGAATCAGCTGCTTCCCAGCACTAATGGGGGAGATTTCTCCTGCAGCACCACTTGAATAAGGAAAAGAAGCAGGAACAGGTGCAAGGGCACCTTCCTGGGGTGGAGGGTTTAGAGGTGGCCACATGCTCCCCCAACACCGCCACAGGCTGTCCTTGCAACGTCCCAAAGGCAATTCCTTCCATAAACCCAACAAATTACCCCCCCAAAAAAGCCACCATCCACTCAAAATATTGTCAGGGGACTCAGGGAAGCCTCTCCTGAAGAGCAGGAGCTTTGCAGGAGATGTGAGGGCTCAGAGACCAGCCGAGGGGTCAGTATGGTCCTGTCAGGGTCTCCCACGAGTGTCCTCCCCACCAGGCCACGCTCAGGGGGCCCTGTCACTGACAGAAAGGATGAACAGGTTTCTCCCCATCCACGTGACCTGGGCTGGAATGGCTCGTGGATCCAAGTTTCACAAGGATTTTTGTTCTCCCAACGTTTGTGAAATATCCCGAGTCACATTCCAGTTTCCTCATCTCTCAGTTGCTTCAGGTGATTCAGCTCCTCTGGGGGCTGATGAGTCTTCTCAACTCTGCATTTTAATTCCAATTCAATCTGTGCCATTATTAATATTACAGTGGCCTCTAGAGTCCTGGCTGAGATCAGCCCTGGGCAGATCCATAGGCAGAAAGACACATTTCTCCCCCAAGCAGAGCATTAAATCAGTGAAGATGCTGATCCCAATGTCCTCCCCCTCCAGCCTGGATGCTCTTGGGCTCCTGTGGAGCTTTAAATTCCTTCTGTTTGGCTTAAAAGCCCTTGAGTAATGAAAAGACTGGCTTGGACTCTTGCAAGGCTCCTTTCAGTGCCTCCTGGCTGGTTTTACTCAGAATTAGGGGTCTCTGGTGTTGCTCCCTGCCCATGTGCCCCCTCCTGCCTTCACCCACTCCCACGGTCAGCAGGAGTTTGGTGCAAAGCCTCACCTCGCCATGTCCCATCTCTAAACCCCCAAATCAAACCTCAGTGAGAGCTTTAGAGCCCAGGAGTGACTTGACTGCCTTTGTAACCCCCCAGGACTGAGCCCCAGTGCTGGCCCAGGGGCTCCTGGAGGACACAGTCCTTGTTTTCAGGTCATCCCCCACACAGACCAGCCCCAGGCTCTGTGATCCCCTGCTGCCACCCTCATACCTGCAGCCCTAATCCCCTTTGTCTCCTTCACCCACTCACAACCTAGATTCTTTTTTTCCCACGCTGACCAAATACATTTATTTTTACCACACACCCCCACGGCCTCATTTGTTCCCTTTCCCTTTCATTTTTGGGTTCCCTTCACAACCCAGCCCACCAGCCCACCCCACAATCCCACCTTCCCCTAATATTTGTCCCTTCCCAGTTTGGGCTTGCGGCTGCTTTGCATTAAGCCCAAGAAACAGGTAAATTGTGCAGTCAAAGGCAACAAGGCCATCCAGAAACCTGCCCATCCCGAGCCAGGCGTGGTGGGCAATTAACATTTTTCTGGAGTAAGGAGGGGAACGGCGGGATATCGATCTGCTCCCAGCACCATGAGTCAAATCAGCAGGGCAAAAACTCCCAATTAGCAAAGTGCTCGGGGTGCTGAACAAGCAAGTCCCTCCAGTGGGGCCCCATCTGGTTTCCGGAGGGAACACACGGGGTGCCCTATAAAAGCCCTCGCGCCCCTTCGCTCCTCATCGCCTCGGCCTCACGTCTCCTCCGAGCTCCTGCTGAACGGGGTAAGTGCAGCTTCATCAAACTTTGGCACCTCTGATGCTCACCAGCCCTGCCCTGACCCCGAGCTCTTGGCCTCCTGTGTCCCATCCCTGTGACTGTCTCTGGCTCAGACCTTCTGCCTCGTTGTCTTCTTCATCCATTTCTGTAGATAAAGAATAAAAAGCAAGTTGGAAAACATAAAACTTGCTGGCTCAGATGGCTGAGGACTCCTCGGGACTCTGTCCACCCCTTCTCACTCATCCCTGGGAGTTTTAACTTCTCTCTGATTTATTTGCTAAACACAGAAGGGAAAGATTTGCCCAGAGAACCAGCACAGGCAGACATGGGCTGCTAATTTTTCTCTCTTCTTCAAGAACCTGGATTATAATCATAGAATCATGGAATGGTTTGGGTGGGAAAGGGCCTTAACAATCATCTTGTTCCACCCCCTGCCATGGGCAGGGACACCTTCCACTAGCCCAGGTTGCTCCAAGCCCCTTCCAACCCGGCCTTGGACACTTCCAGTGTTCTTTGCCGTGGCACTCACTCAAAGATGAGTCTTCCCAGCAGGTCTCCAAGGATGTGCTCCCGCCAGGACAAAGACCAGTGCCACCAGCAGGAACGATCCTCCTGCCACAGCAGCGAAGGGTGTCACAGGAGCAGTGGATCCGGATGCCACGGGAGCAGTGGTGGATCTGGATGCCACAGGAGCAGTGGATCTGGATGCCATGGCAGCAGTGGTGGATCTGGATGCCACGGGAGCAGTGGTGGATCTGGATGCCATAGGAGCAGTGGTGGATCCTGCCATGGCAGCAGTGGATC